ATTCTTAATTATGAATGCCTGGCCTTAGCTTGGCTTAGTTTCTAGCTAGCTTTCCCTTAATTAACCCATCTATCTTTTGCCTCTGGGATTTTCCTGTTCTCTAACTTCTGTGAATCTTACTCTCACTCTGTGGCTTGCTGTGTAGCTGGGTGGCTGGTCTCTGGAGTCCTCCTCCTCTGGCTCCTAGATCAGATCCCTCCTCCCAGATTTCTCCCTTTATATACTCTCCCTGCCTGCCAGCCCCGCCTATCCTTTCTCCTGCCTTGCTACTGCACAGTTTTTTTTTTTTTTTTTTTTTTTTGGTTTTTTCGAGACAGGGTTTCTCTGTGTAGCTTTGCACCTTTCCTCGAGCTCACTTGGTAGCCCAGGCTGGCCTCGAACTCACAAAGATCCGCCTGCCTCTGCCTCCCGAGTGCTGGGATTAAAGGCGTGCGCCACCACGCCCGGCCGGCTGCACAGTTTTTTATTAGACCATTAAGTGTGTTAGACAGGCAAGGTAACACAGCTTCACAGAGTTAAAGCAATGCAATATAAACAAAAGTAATATACGTTAAAGTATTCTACTACACCATTCAGGTTGTACAAAAAGAGAATACAACAGCTCTTGATCTTTCAAAGGTACCAACAGCACTACCTTTAAATTGCTTGACTGAAAAACCTGTCTGGGTGGAACAGGAGCCTTTGGCATCAGAAAAATTACAGGCCCTAGAACAGCTAGTACAGCAGCAGTTAAATGCTCAACATATTGAAGAACTGACAAGTCCTTAAAACTCTCCTTTGTTATTAAAAAGAAATCTGGAAAATGGCAACAGATTTAAGAGTTGTTAATAAGGTGATTCAGCCAATGGGCTTTTTATATCCTGGAATTCCCCTGCCTTCTCTATTACCTAAAGGATAGCGTATTATACTTGTTCATTTAAAAGATTGTTTCAACACTATGCCTTTACATGAAAATAGAGAAAAATTTGCCTTCACAGTGCTTACTTATAATAATTCTCAGCCTGTTAAGAGATATCAATGGAGGGTCCTCCCACAAGGGAGTGATGTTAAACAAACAGTCCCATCCTATACCAATATTTTGTACGACAGCTGGAAGAAATGATTCATGTACAGTTTGCTCAATCTGTAATTTACCATTATATGAACGGTATCTTACTAGCTGATTCAAATGTAGATAGTTTAGAGAAAATATTCGAAGTAAAGAAAATTTTGCCTATTTGAAAATTACAAATTGCTCCTGAAAAAGATATCATCACACAGAGACTGTATAAAAAGTGATACAGCGAGCTATCCAAGACTTGACAATTATCCCAATTTTTTTTTCAGAATGCCTAAAAATGCCGTCACCTCCAGACAGCAGGAATTAAACTTAAGAACAGGATGCCCACATTCCCAAGAGGTGGGGTGAGTGGTTTTTGGTCGTTCAGTGGGTATGGATATTTGTCATCATTTAGGGGAGTTGGTTACAAGTTGCTATTGGTAATGGTCAAGAAAAAAGCTCAACAAAGGAGATTAGATTCAGAGATCTCATTCTAAAAAGAAAAAAAGGGGGATACAAAAATGATGGGGGAAAAGGGTAGATTATTAAATCTACTTTTAAACCAAAAAAAAAAAAACAACTACTAGTTTTAAATATTTTACATTGATATGGATTTTTGTATATTAATACAAATTTGAGGATGTTATACTGTATATATGTTTCTACTATTGTTTAAGATATTTTTGTATATTGATACAAATCTAAGGTTATTTTTGTTAGAATATACTGTACATGTTTCCACACTTGTTCAAGGTATCATTACCTATACAGCTCATTTAACAATGTAATATAAATTTTTAGTTGCTGAAAGTTATTATTACAAAGTAGTATAATAAAGAAATGCAAGTCAATAGTCACCTATTACAATCAAACTTGTAGTCATGTTAAGTATGTTTTCAAAGTCAAACATATATTTTAGACAGGCAAGTGGTCTTCAAACACTTCAGAGATCTACAGAATATAGCATTTAAGATGTTCAGTAACATAAGTTAGTTTTTTGTTTTGTTTTGTTTTTTATGACAATGAGATATATCTGCTCTGGGCAGCACCAATCTACTTCAGAAATAATGGGCATCGAAGAAACTCCATATGGAGTTTACTTTCTTTGCAACAAAAGTTAGCCACAGGGCAAGGAACTGCCCTTGCACTGACTGCTGCCAGTATGCTGTCCAAATTGGACAAGCAGGACACAAAAGAAATTGACTGTCAAACCTTGCCAAGACAAGGTGGGACAATCCTTTCAAAGTCCTGCTTCACAGAAAAGTAGGTCAGATATTCTAGGCCTGCAGGCCAAAGATGGATGCCCCCAACGTTAAGAAGAACCTTGGGTAGCTGACCAAGCAGCCAGCTGTTTCTGTTATTTTTTAATTTTGGAAGTTGTTTGTTCTGCACTTCCTGTTTACGTGGGTAATATTACATCCTTCTCAGGTCTCTGATAGAGTTGAAGAACAGACAGTTATAGTTTTGTTTTTAACAATTCAGAAAAGTTACTCACAAAAGAGGTGTAAAGTACATAAGATTGAGAGACATCAAAAGATAGGTTGGTAATACAAGTTAGGACAGAAGGTGAATTAGGTACAACACTTTGGACTCACCAAGACTGGATAGATAATAGAGTATTTTCTCTGAACTTGTCAAATACTAATGGACTAGACATTGTTAATGTAGTTATTACCTGTATATATTTGTATATAGTTATTATACTTACTGTATATAGTTTTTCTATGCTAGTTAAAACCTTTGCTTTTTATTTAAACAACAAGGGGGAAATGTTATACAATACTTTGCTAGTGTTCTGACAAATAAAGGTCACCTGGAGATCAGAGAGCAGAGATAGCCACTGGTTAACTATAGAAGTCTGGAGGTCTGTACAGATGGGAGACAGGATCTCGGGTCCTTTTGGAAATCAGAGGATTTAGAAAGGTAAAAAGTCACTGGTGGCTGTTCCTCTGCTTCTCTGATCTTTCCGCTTTTACCCTGATATCCTGGTTTTTATTGATAAGACTAGTTAAGATCATGCTTCAGACCTCCACATGAATGCTGTAATGTACATGCATGTGTACACACACCCCTGAATGAAGTGCCTAGCACTATACCCAATGAGAGCAGAAAGATGCTTCAGGAGAGAAATCCAGAAACTTAACTGACAGATATGAAAGGAATGAAAAAAGAATGTATATAAAAGCTCTTGATTTGGAAGACTCAATTTTTTTTAAGGTGTCAATTCTTCCCAAAGCAACTTCAAGTCCAGGTAATAATGAAAATCCCAACAGGATTAGGCAGAATAATAATCTGACATGCTGATGTTTAAGTTGTATGGACATTTGAAAAGCTCACTGTATCCAGGGCATTCTTGAGGAGGGAAGAGGGAAGAAATGTATTATTAGGTATGACAAGATTATGGAATTTATTTAGAAAGACCAACACAACAGACGTCCAACACAGATCCACACATATACCAACACTTGACAAATGATATAAGTGGTCAGACAAACCAGATTAAAAAAAAATCATCTCCAAAGATGCTAAGACAGAGAAGTAGTTGTTTGGAAGCAAACAGGAGAAAGCTAATTCCTCCCACAGTCCGCAGAAATCAACTCAAGGATAATGAAGTTTAAGGCAATATCCATATAAATATTTCATGTTCAAAACTAAACACATTAAATATGCCCAGGCGGATGCAGCTTAAGGCCAAGGATCTTATTGTCAGGGTACTCTTATATTCTTACACAGTGCACTATATAAAGCAATCAACTACAAACTTGTAGATGAAGACAAGAGATACCTACAAAATCAGAATTAGGTAAAAATCATTTCTGATGGTGAGCATGGCGGTGCACGCCTTTAGGAAGCAGGGGCAGGGGGACCACTGTGAGTTTAAGGCCAACTTTGTTTACATAGCAAATTTTGGGTCAGTCAGGGATACAGTGAGACCTTGTCTCAATAAAATAAAATAATTGAAATAATTTATGGAAGTAGAAACACCACTTAGATCTCAAATTCTTAACATTTTTTTTTCTGGTTCTGTCTACTAAAAATGTTCAATATCCATGAAAAACTTGTAATAACAAATGTTCCAAGCATTCAAATTGGTCTCTGGGTACTAATCCCCAAATAAATGAAGAGAAAATGAAAGAAAACTCCTTCAAAACTCTATTTCTTGAGCATAAAAGATAACTAGACTGCTATCTCAGACCTGAAAGCACCATACTGTCCTGACAGTATCCAACAGGAAATCCACAGCACCTAGAATATCATCAAATCCAGCTCTGAGTCTCTACCTAATTATCAGTTTGTGCACTGAGATGGAAGGACATGTTATAAAACTGGAAGACAGAATTCAGAGAATGATAAAATCTGCACAACACTTACAAATAAATGGAAATATAAAAGGATAAACTGTTAGTACACCAACCAGTGCAACACCAGGATTTTGTGTGGACATGAGGTAATCAAATAAAGCTGAGTTTGTTGAGTGAAGAGATAAAACTTGAAAGTAACTGGACATTCACTGATGTTGAGAAACTGATTTACTTTGTTGTGAAGAATAGCAGTCCTGATAGCTAAAGAGTCATATGCAAGTGTTTAATACTGAAATGATAGGAAATACCCCAGATACATGAGCAATTACTTAGTAATTAAAAATAAACTAAACAGATAGGTAGACAGGTGAATGGACACAACTTCCCCAGGGAAGGGAGTGTTTTAGATGAATTAATTCAAATACTCAAATTAGATGAGTGAAACAGTCCTGCATTTAGAGAGTACAGAATAGGCTCGTGTTCTCGAGATAATTCAGAGCTTCTGACACAAAATTCAAAATCACTGAAACAAATCACATTAAATCACACAGCTACACACTTGACCTTACACACTTTCAAACACACACACAGCTACAGACATGGACCTCACACACTTTCAAACACACACACACACAGCTCACGTGTTTCAAGGCACTTACTGCTGGAAGCAGAGACTGCATATTTTGATTAGAATCTGCTATTGTAGCGAGGTATACCAGGTTCGTATGCAACATCTGCTGATACCTATCAAAATAAAACAAATACCAGTATTAAAGAACATCTTTCTAGCTACTTAAGTACAAGCAGCATTATAATTATTATTAGAGCTTAATGAAAGATGTGTTAGCTGAACATCAATGGCACTTTTCCTATTTCCTCTGCAAAATAATTCCAAATGGCACACAACACATTTACAGTAATGGGGAACACGGTGACTCCACCACGTGCTTAGAAAGACTCCGTTCCTGTCGATGTGCGCATACCTCACTTAACAGAGGCAGCAGCTCTCACTTTCTCCTTACAACTGAGGAGTCATGGTTGAGAGACTGCTGAGTTGCACACGATTTCACAGCTGCTCAAGGAATAACCGACATCCAGCCTCAGACATACAGTATATTAGGTTTTACAAGAACTAAAATAAAGAAGTTCAATAAAATATGCTTACCACCCCACCCCACCCTCACACTTCCTTCTGCTTTTGTTGTGGTTGGTTTTTCTGAGACAGGATCTCATTATGTAGCCCTGGCTGTCCTGGAACTCACTATGTAGGCCATAGGTCTCAATAACACAGAGGTCCACCTGCCTCTGCCTCCCAAGAATAGCCATGAACAAAATGACGGGTCACTGAAATCATTAACAATTCACTTTAAAATAATAGAGCAAATTCTTAATACTTGGGCTGTATAGCTAAATATAACTACAAAAAAAGGCTTTTAGTAATACTGCTTAATAATTAAAGTTGATTTATAATTTTTTTTTTCTTTTTGGTTTTTCAAGACAGGGTTTCTCTGTGTAGCTTTGCACCTTTCCTGGACTGGATCTCAATCTGTAGCCCAGGCTGGCCTCGAACTCACAGAGATCCGCCTGCCTCTACCTCACGAATGCTGGTTAAAGACATGAGCCACCACTGCCCAGCAGCTTTATAATTTTTAAACTCATATAAAACCCAAAACTGGCAGCAATCTAATCACTGTCTGGTCTCAGTGCATGAACAGAGCAAGTTCCATACATACAAATTTAAAACCCACACCAGCCAGGCGGTGATGGCGCACGCCTTTAATCCCAGCACTCGGGAGGCAGAGGCAGGCGGATCTCTGTGAGTTCAAGGCCAGCCTGGTCTACCAAGTGAGTTCCAGAAAAGGCGCAAAGCTACACAAAGAAACCCTGTCTCAAAAAACCAAAAGGAAAAAAAAAAAAAAACCTACACCAAATGTACCACTGTTTTAAGATTTCATTTTCCAGAGGCCAGGCCTGTGGCCCTAACACTTGAGAAGCTGGCACAGAAACACAGGCTAGTCTAAGAATATAGCAAGACCAGGTCTCAAAAGACGAAACATCATTTATTATAGATTCTAGCTATAAATCTAAAATGAATGTCAATGAATTTCATTTACTGTATTCAAATAAATGAAGCATTCTAATTCAGATCCAAACTGAAACACTTCTCTAACCTTGTTATAAATGGCTGATTTCACTTTTCTAACAAGGGAAAGCCTGACTCTTACTGATCACAAAGCTTCCTTCCACACTGAGAAGCCTACACTTTTAGTTCTACTCTTCACATATAAATGGTCCTTGGATAAACAAAACCAATGAGTAATTATTATGGTTAATTATAATTAATTGACAGCAAACAGAAGCTGGGACTGTTTCATAATTTTCTACAAGTCTCACAGGGAACTTAACACTGCTCTAGACAAAAATAATCAGTCTTTTTTTTTTTCCTTTTTGGAGACAGGGTTTCTCTGTGGAGCCCTGGCTGTCCTGGAACTTAATCTGTAGTCTGTAGATCAGGTTGGTCTGGAATTTAGGAGATCCACCTACATTCTGGCCTCTGCCTTCTGAGTGCTGGGATTAAAGGAGTGTGCCACCATGGCCAGCCCTCAAAAACATCTTATTAACTTTCTTCATGGTGGTGAGAGCTGTACAAGGGCCCTGAGTCGTTACCAGAGTTGCTTCTCTCTCTCCACCATGCGGGTCCTGGGGGTCAAGCTGAAGTCAGGCTTGGTGATGCAAGCACCTTCACCAGCTGAGCCAGCTAGCAGGCCCCAGCTGCCACTTCTAATTAAGATACACACTGATTTCAACGACTACACTTTGAAATCCTCCGTTTTCTTCTAGGAGTTTTCGTACGTTGTATGATCTTCAAGTGTGAGCTTTCTAGGGACTACCAACTACATCATGGCACACATGACCACAACAAAGCTTAGTTGTTATGCTGATTAGCCCTAGCCAGCCTCAGAAAGTCACTAAGTGTCCCATGCTTAATCTAACAGGAGTTAGAGCAAGCCTTTAAAGCTCCTTGCAGCTTTATCTATACACAAATATAGCTCAGTTCAATTCTCAAGATATTTACCCAATTGTGCTCAACATCAAATCTAACTTTTAATTAACTTGAACTTATTTTAAATTTTCAGAAAAGTTTCAGGAATGGGTAGAGGGGAAGCCTTTTACATCTCTCTTCCAAATTTCCAAATAGTCTTTTCTAGCATGTGTCCTCTCATTCTGTCTCATGTCTATGCACACATACTCTGTCACAACATTATACTTCAATACCAATCTCCCCCAAATAAGACACCCCTTAGAACCACAGCAAGGACACTAACACAGTACCAGGGAGCCCATCCCAAAGCACCTTACTGCCTACATCTCCTTTTCCTAACATAAGAAGGTGGGCAAAACCAAGTTTTAGCTGTGGTTTATATTTTTTGGTTTTGCTTTTGGTTTTTGAGTCAGGCTCTCAATTTTCTAGTCCAGGGTAATGGAAACTCTGTGGAGTAAAACTGCAGTAAGAAAATAGGGAATATTCATCAGAAAGTTTATTGTAAGAAAAAAAAAAACAAGTATCAAAAAATGATTAACAAAAACTTGGTTATTTGTATATTCTCACATTCTCTTCTGTGTTTGTATGTAAGTCACCTAAAATGGAAAAAAAAAAAGAAACAACAACAAAAACCACAGGAGAATCAGAACTCAGCTCAGACTACAGAATGAAAATAGAAACATTTCCTGAGACATTTCATTTTCTAGTCTATAAATACCATTCCACTTGTCCCTGCAGTCCTAATGAGTCTGCGCTCTTCCACATTTAGTCAGCCGTGGAGGGGTGCTCAAGCTCTGGCAATGCCCACACCCTGCTAGCAGCCCCAGGCCCTGTCGGCCTGCGCAGCGTGCTCTGCAATGTTTACAGGACGACAACACCAGCTGACAGTGCCTTTTATGGTGTCCCCATCTTTAAATGTAACTATACCTTGTTAACATAGGAAGCTGAATATATAAGCTAACGGGAGATTAGCAAACATATTCAACATCTTATATTTGACCATGGTAACTGCTGAAAGCCAGCCAAAGTTACCAGATCCATCAAAATCTTGTTTGATGACTGTATGGTCCTAACAAGTTCTGACAGATACCTCCAAATGTTTATGATCACGATTAAAGCCGGGCAGTGGTGGCGCACGCCTTTAATCCCAGCACTTGGGAGGCAGAGGCAGGCGGATCTCTGTGAGTTCGAGGCCAGCCTGGGCTACCAAGTGAGTTCCAGGAAAGGCGCAAAGCTACACAGAGAAACCCTGTCTCAAAAAAACAAAAAAAAATAAATAAAAAATAAAAGAGAGCCCAGCTTCCAAAGACACCACTAAAAGCCACAACACAGTACCCTGCACAAGGCAAAATAACCAGTCCTAAGTTTATTAATTAAAAATAATCTGAAAAGCTTAGGTTTAATTTAAAAGTAACTTTAAAACAGCACATTTATTGGATGGCGCTATAGTTTACAGGATAAAAGTAACCTTGATAAGCAGTAATTTAAACTAAAATTCCACTAAATGATGACAAATACTAATTATTTGCATTAAAATTATAAAGCACTCTGAAATATAGTTGTACCCATCCTAAAATACCCAAACGAGGCTGCTGACTAAAGCGAAGTCTGAACTGCTTTAGAAATATTCAAACCACACAGAAGGAAGCAATGTCCCGAGTATGCGTTAGCACAGGTGAGTGAGGGCTGTGAGCCTTGCACACAGTGAGTGCTTCAAACCCCTGACACAGAGAATGACACAGGTCAGTGTCGGTCTCCTGATGACGAAGAGCCACAGAGAGGAGAGAATCACCACGGCAATCTGTTTGGCAAGGATGTGTTTGTTGTCTTGTTTTAAATGTATTTCTTTTCTTTTCTTTCTTTCTTTTTTTTAACAAGACATATACTGTTAATGGTCAGAACTCAGTAAGGGTTTGTTTGGTTTACTTTCTTTGAGACAAGGTCTCATTATATAATCTAGGCTGGCCTTGAACTCATGGCAATCCTCCTGCCTCAGCCTTCAGTGTGATGGAATTACAGATATAAGGCATCCAGCCAAATCAGCTTCTTTTATGTGTGTGTGGGCAGCTTGTCAGTGTTACACCACCGAGGAACAGAACAGGCACCTCCCAGCCGAGGTGTTCCCAGCACCACTAACACCCATAGCCCTAGAGAGGGTGGGGCCGCAAGAGATCCTCTCTCACCCACGACGGAAGTAAGTTATTCTTAATCTAAGAAATTGTATTCAAAGGAAATATTTAATCAAAGTCAGACTATCAATTCCCAGATAGTTGGCATTTACTATATCTCTACATTTTTGTTTCACTTCCACCATGAGGGACAGGTGAGAGCAAGAGATTTTTTTCTTTATTCAAACCACACTGACAACTTGAGAAAGAACGAATACCAAAAGAACAGTCAAAACAAAGGTAAACCCATCAAAGCAGGGCCGGCAGCTTAGACCTGTTGATCGAGCTCTTCTGTGGCTGAAACAGAACGAACAAACACACACACACACACACACACACACACACACACACACACACACACGACATGAAAGTAGGGGGACATGCCGGGAAGAAGAGTTTGGTGGACAGGGATAAGAGAGCATAATGGGGGAGAATATCATCCGAGTACATTATGTATAGGTATGAAATTGTGAAAGAATACATGAACTTGAAAAACATAAAATTCCAAACCCTAGAATTCGGGGCAACCCTAAGTGACATAGCAAAGCCCCCTTAATTAAAGATGAGAGTTATAAAATTCATTAGAAAGGGCAAAATTTAAGTTTCTACTTTAAATCAATCTAAGTCCCAGGTGCATCAAATAAGAGAAATTTCTGAGGTCTATCCTGATGTGCAGAGGAACAGGGGATTTATATACTTTGATTCTTCAATAAATTTTGTCTGTATGTATCTGAAATTTTATTTCTAAAAAGTAGTGGATCTATCTCTCTACACACACACACATAAATGACAAAGCTACAAATGTAAACAGTATCAACCACTATTGATTCAGACCGGAACAGCTGGAACAGCTGGGAACACCTCGATATCCATAACACTGGTCACACATGGAAACAAAACCTGTCGTACACCACAAAATCTTTCATCTCTAACAGGTTCTTAAATGCCTCGGGTGAAAAACAATCACTCCACTAGGGCCTCCATGCCCGGCTTCAGGGGTGAGCTCACAACTGAAGATTATGCACTACCCACAGCCGAACCACAGAAATAGATCCTCTACTTTTTAAAAGTGAAATTTCAAATATATACAGACAAAATTTATTAAAGAAACAAAATAAGTAAATGGAAATGGTCATACAAAATGCAAAATGTGGAAGTGATTAGGAAACAAGACAATCTGGTAACAGCAATTTGGCTTCTACATTTCAGCCTATATATTTAAACAAAACAAGTGCCAATCTGGTCTTAAAAGAGAAATGGATGATTCCAGGTTTGTACAAGGAAAAATACAAGGCAAAACTAGAACACTTCATAGTACAGGAAAGGAAAATGCTCAAAAAATAACAGAGAAAGGCAGTGGTGGTGCACACCTTTACTCCCAGCACTTGGGAGGCAGAGGCAGGTGGATCTCGGTGAGTTCAAGGCCAGTCTGGTAGAGAGTGAGTTCCAGGACAGCCAGGGCTACAGAGTGAAACCCTGTCTCAATAAATGAATGAAGGAGGGAGGGAAGGAGGGAAAAGAAGGAAAAAATTGAAAGATGTCAAGAAGCCAGACAGAAAAGCTCCCAGCAGTCAGATCTAGAACAACCCGAGAAAGAAAACAAAGTACGAGAGTAGAACATAAGACAGAATACAGTAGGATGAACAAATCCATTTAAACATAAAAACCTGAAATAATGAATGGAGGGAAGGGGTAAAAGATGACTTTCTCACAGCAGAATTCCAAGTACGTTTAGGAGGAGTGATGGAGCTGGTCATCATTTGACAACCACAACAGTAACAACCATTGTGCAAATGCATTAGTTGATGGGAGAATGTCTTTTGTATGCTGTGAAAATATGTTGCTCTGATTGGTTGATAAAGCTGTTTGGCCAATGGTGGCAGAATAGGGTTAGGTGGGACATTCTAACTAGAGAGGAGGAAGGAGAAAGGCAGAACAGAGGAGATGCTGCCAGCCGCCGCCATGAGAAGCAAGATGTAAAGTACTGGTAAGCCACGAGCCACGTGGCACAATATAGATTTATAGAAATAAGTTAATTTAGCTGGGCGGTGGTGGTGCACGCCTTTAATCCCAGCACTCGGGAGGCAGAGCCAGGCGGATCTCTGTGAGTTCGAGGCCAGCCTGGGCTACCAAGTGAGTTCCAGGAAAGGTGCAAAGCTACACAGAGAAACCATGTCTTGAAAAAAAAAAAAAGATCTAGCTAAGATCTAGCTGGTGAGAAGCCTGAGCCAATAGGCCACACAGTTTGTAAATAATATAAGCCTCTGTATGTTCATTTGGGTCTGAGCAGCTGTGGGCACAGGAAAACTTCCAGTACAATTAGTGAATACTAAAATTAGTGGATTGAAGAAAAGGTTCGTGTGTGATTCAAGGTGTCTCCCTAGCATTATGCATTTGAATTACAAAGGAGAAAATACTAACTCTGGTGGAGAAAACAGCAGGTGCCAGCTTAGGAAGCAGATCAAAGCCACCACCAGTACTGAACCAGGGAGGACGCAGTCAAAAGGGCGTCACTTCACAATGTGACACTAATGCCATAGGGCACATGTGAGCTTCTTTCTGCAGAAACATAAATTGGGTCTTAAATGAGGACATTCCACAGAGTAACTGCATTCTGCAACATCAACACCATGAAGCATTAAGTCTGAGGAGCAGTTGCAGATTAAAGCATACCACAAGACATACCCATTAAAGGCAAAATTTGACCCACATTGGGATCTGAAAAGAACACACTAAAAGCCTGAAAGTGCTGGAGATGACGTACTGCACTAGTCACTTCAATAATTTATACTCAGGCAATGTAAGAATACATGCCCAACTTCAGGGAAAAGTTGGGCTACTTACAGTAAGAGAATCATATCTGCAATCAGTCTCAAATGTCGATATAATAAAAAGTTATTGGGCTAACCTGTTACCGGCTGAAGAACTTCAGTAAAGGACATACAGTAATTTATATTACCATCATTAAGCCCTTTTCACTAAGTAGTAAATGTTTGGAAAGAAGCATTCGTTTAAAAACTTGTAGTTTTTACCAATCAGATATACAGAATTTTGTAAAAGATGTTCAATATCTACTGCTGGCAGTGAACACCAGCACAGGACTGAAGTAAGGCAAGGACATTTTTGGCAGGGTAGCCTGGCAATTTAGCATGGTCTCTGACCTAGTAATCCATTTAAGAACTGCAGCCTAGGACTGGACATTCACTCAGAGGGGATAGCACTTGCCAAACAGAGACAAGAGCCTAACTCAGGAAGAAAGAGGGGAAAAGGTGACCTCTATAAACACTAGGACAGCATAATCTGTGTGTGTACTGACATAAATACAGAGAGAAGATAAGACAGTGGGAATTAAGAGGCAACTACCACATTTTTATAATACTGAACATGAGATTTTTATTTTAAAGTTAATTTAAACAAAGGGAAAGAGACCTAAAATCCAGAGGTGAGTGAATCACAGGAATGGAGTGTGAGCTCTCGCAATGCTTTGATCTAAGCTATGCATCAAGGTGACCATACTTTATAAATAATGAACCAAGTAAAGCACATTCATGTCACTTCTTTTTTGTTTATGGCGTCTACTAGAAAATGTGACTTGTATTTACATATAGCTGCTGGACACTGCTGCTCTGAATGAATGCTTGACAAAATAGGCAATTCCACCACATCCAATCTTGTTTTGGGGTTGTATGATTGTTGTCTTAAGACAGGGTCCTAACCAGGTGGTGGTGGTATACACCTTTAATCCCAGCACTTGGGAGGCAGAGCCAGGCAGATCTCTGTGAGTTCGAGGCCAGCCGGGGCTACAGAGTGAGTTCCAGGAAAGGTGCAAAGCTACAGAAAGAAACTCTGTCTCAAAAAACCAAAAATAAAAATAAAAAAAAGACAGGGTCCTGAGGTGTGGCTCAGGAATTTATCATTCACCTGCCTTAGCCCTGAAGGTGCTGGGGTTCTTGGCCATGCCTACCTCAAATCTGAGTCTATTAGGATCTATCAGTCACTTCAGAGAGATCATCATAAAATCAAAGTTTGGCCCTTGTAAAAGACAATCAGTTCTCTACAACATCAAGTTTTGCTCTCTCAGTATTTACTAAATACAGTACATACATGAAGAGTTTATTTCTCTTTTTCTTTTCTTTTTTGTTTTTTGGGTTTTTGTTTGTTTGTTTTTCAAGACAGGGTTTCTCTGTGTAGATCTGGCTGTCCTGGAACTTGCTGTTAACTAGGCCTGCCTCTGCCTCCTGTGTGCTGGGATTAAAGGTGTGTGTGCCGCCGCCATCGCCGCCACCAAGCTAAGATTTTACTTTTCTATAGATGAGGCTCTGTACAAGTTCAAAAATCATTATTTTATACTATAGGGTAAGAAAAGGGGGGGGGGGACGACACACACCTACCTCCCACCACAAAGGGCTTTTCTTTTGTAAAAGAATCAAGAAAAGACAGTCATATGAATTCAGAGGAGTATCATGAGCAGAAAACTGGAACAACCCAAATGACAGAGTACAATGGAAGATCATTTGGCATTATAAGGAAGTACCAGTACATGTGCCAGTATCAATCAACCCTGAAAACATCACGCCTTTTTGTGTGGAAAAAAGTCAATCGGAGCTGGGTGTTTGGTTCACCCCCATGATGTGCACTTGAGAGGCAGAGACAGGGATCAGGAGTTTGACAGCAGCCTGGGCTTCATGAGACACTATTTCAAAAAGTACAGGGGCAGCGGAGAAGTCAGCCAAAACAGACCACACATGGTTGGAATCCATTTACACAAAAGGTCCCAACAGTTCAAGTCTACACTAACAGATGGGAGGCAGAGGCAGGCACATCTCTAGTTCAAGGCCAGCCTGATCTACAGAGTGAGTTCCAGGGCAGCCAAGGCTACACAGAGAAACCCTGCCTCAAAATAACAAAAAA